ATCAACTTATATATTTTTGACAAGTGTTGTATCCGTTTAACATTGATGTCGCGAAACCGTGACTCTATTACAAAGTCTTCAGTTAATAGCGTTAATGACGACAAAGATAATCTTTATTAAAAATGACTTAAATCCATTTAAACAAAGACGTTTTAGATTTTCGCATCGATGTTGGTAAACGATGACACTCAAAGTTCAGTTAATTCAAGTCTTGTATTAATGATGACAAAGGCAACTTTTTACTATTAACAAAGACGTTAAATAGTGTTTATGTTTCTCTATCACAAACAATTTCATACCATACATAAAGATGAAGGACGAATAACGTCTGCGTCATGATTCACTTAGAAGTCGATAAAGATTTCTTTCATTGTCAGCATAATAATAACAACGCATATTAATATTTATATATAACACCTTTTGTATGGACAAATCGTCATAACTTTGACCGTTTCAAACCACTATTGTTATGCGTGCATGTAGAGAGAGTGAAACTCATATAATGGGAAACGAAAAAAACTGTGCAATGTAGAACATGGAGGGTGTGCATCGATTCCCTAATTCTCGAGCTTGGAATAAGCCATGGCGTGCATGTATGGAGGTTGTGTATATATGGAGGGTGCTTTCACTGTATGTCATTTATACGTTCATAAAATTTATATAAATACCGTTGTGAACAACTTTCCCAATCATGTCAGGCTGTTTTGCACGAGATGGATCATTGTTAGCAAGCTTACGAATCTTTGCACTAGTGCTAGCTGTATTCGGCCATATGGTTGGATGAACCGAAGCATTATGTAGAAAGATCCGTAATATAGGACTAATAAAATTCGCTATCAACGTCCCTTCACTGATTTTTTCTTTTAACGTACGCACTGAAAGATTACTGGCTCTGCAAAACAGTTAAAAATTATTTAATTGACATTATACTTACAGTTGTTGAAACAATAATTGCAGGAAAAGCGCATTCTCTTCGGTCTTATCAAACGTTTTTGGATAAGACTCTATTATTAGTTTCCATCAAGAACAGTCTAAAGTAAAATTATTAGCAAACGCAATAATAATATTTCAAATTATAATATAAAGGCATTGTACCTCGACATATTCTTGAAAAGTTGATTTGAATTCTTTAGATATTTTTTCCTTCCCAAAAATCCTTGTCCTGGTATCCTTTCTCAGATCCTCAAGAGTATCTCTGGAAACCGTTTTTATTTGCATGCCGGAATAGTCGTCAACTTGTAATAAAAAATATGCGATATACTCCTAAACATTCAAAGAGTAAATATCAACCGCTAACAATGTCGTTGTAATGAAAGGCTGTTTAGAAATCTGCTCCCGATAATTCTGTGTAACTGATAATCCAGATTTTCTCGACATAGTCAATGCTTCATATCGGTATGATTTGAATAATGATGAAATATTCTTCGCTTTGAAAATGAACTAAAAAAACTCCTATTACATTGATGAGATCACACTTGCAATTGATTGCGGTAGAATGAAACACTTACAGGTTTGTCCTCTTGATCAATGAATTCGTCAAAGCCAATTTCTTCCACATTTAATTTTGATCCACACTCCTCATCCGGATTCATCGCTACTTTGTAGATTTGTCAGTTGTAGAATGAGCAATGGAAAAAAAAAACACAAACAAAATAACATTATTATGACACCGACACTATCATTAGTTCCGGATGGCGCATATGATTTATCATCTGCGAGTGCTCGTTTCTTGGGTGTAGTGTACTCGTCTTGACTGTTATAGTCAACGTTTCGTCTTTTTTTGGCTACATGTAGCTGACTCGTCCTGGTATATACGAATAATTATAAAAATTGTTGGATTAGCATCTCGAGGCTTGCGACGGCAGAACACAGTGCTATACCGTTTGTGCTGTTTCCTGAGATCTTAAAAAGCTAAATCTCTTTACCTTATTAGCATCATTCTCTTCTTGTTCATAATATTTTGCTTCATTTCTTCCCAGAAATTTTTCACATCCTCTGACGTTTTCTCGTTTTCAATGTAGAATATTAATAATAATGTTCTAATACGAACAGTACGAATTCACTCTAAACCAATTAAACCTACTCAACCCTAGAAAATATACATGGATGGTGTATCTATAGCGGAGCCGCAGCCTTTTATTATACGTAGCCGCAGCCAGTATACTAGCTAATAGAGCAGCAATTGCATTTCTCAACGGAGCCGCAGCCAGTACACTAGTTGATAATACGCCACAACATTCGCGCAACAAAACGAATGTCTACGCCGGTACATTATAGACCATAACAAAAAACCGACTTACTGCAAAACTCTCCAAAGCTTCTTCGATTATTTCGTATTGTTCACCCATTTCCTTATAACTTCGTTTGATTGTGGTTAGTTCTGATATGTATTGACTTTGAATCTTGTCTTTCGAGAGTGAATCTTTTGTGGTTTGTGAGAGACAAGTTAAATACGTAATCAACGATGGTTTTGAAATCGAACTCCAGTATGCTGTAAGTTTTAATGAATATACTGAGCGATACACCAATATTTACCTGACCGTGCGTGATCGATAAACAACGCAAAGAACCAATGTTTACCTGGATCACTGCGGACACGTTTTTATCTGACCACGTGCCCGCTTTTTTTTCGGGTCACTAGCATTCTTATCACATAACAGATCTCCCGTACGCTATCACTATAGGTTCATCTTAAAGCAGTCTGGAGTTTTTCCAAATTTGGTAATGCAGATCATACTTTTTATGGGATAACCCAATTCTAGAATTTTCTAGATTTCAGTTGTAGAACACTATGGAAGCATGTGTCCATTTAATCTTTATTTATATTATTAATATTAATACTATTTTCAGATATTATATTTCTAACTTCTTGAAGAATATTCACCAAGTCATCGCGGGATTTACTTGATAAGCCTTGAAAACGTGACCGTTCTGATTCACCTAAAAAAGGATTTAAGGAGTTGACTATGGATAATATCTGTGATTTCGTTAATGAACTGTCAGCTTTCTGATGATTTGCTTCTTCATGTGTTATTGGAATTGGTTGCCAAACGCCTATTGCTGTTTATTTAGTTAGCTTTGCTTTAATAAGGTCTATTCTTTTCATATGAGCAATTTCACCAAATCTTTTCATTTCTTCACTTAGCCTCCACTCTCCACTTATGTCTTGAAAAACACGACTATTAGCATTTGGGTTTACAAATTCGGTCTTTCTTATTCGAACCCGAAATCGACGTGATTCAGTAGTAAAGCTAGGACGTGTACGAGGTCTGTGCATTTCACTTTTATTATATCCTATTACATTAAAAAGGTTAGTACGCAATTTCAAAAAATTTGTATAATTACATACTGCAATCTCCCAGTGCCGTTGTGAAGGTACAGCAGGAACTAAAGATTTGAGCATTTTGTTAATTTCTTCCAGTATTGCGTCATGGCCTTGATGCTGATTTGAAGTTTGGAACGTGAATTACAATCCTTCCTTGAATCAACTTGTAAATTTCAGGTCTTAATCGTAATCGTTGATCTTCATCAGTAATTTCGATTAACCGGTAAATAGGATGTCGTCGAGCAGACCAAATCGGTGCGAATGTTCGTCTAGCTGCAAGTCTTAATGAAGGCCTATTAAAACGAACTCCAGTGCGAAAGGTAATAATAGCTTGTAAATACAAAAAAATTTGTTCATACTTTAACCTGAATATGGAATCCGTTTGATTCTGTGCCCATTTTAAATAACCTTCAACAGAAGGATTTTTTCAGAAATAATGTATGGCCCGATGCCATTGCATGCCTATATATGTTACATATAGAGTCCCATGACTTATGATGATCAGAGCATTTTTTAAAGAACTGTAGAGTTCTCAGTTCGATACCCCTGACATTGAGCAAAATCTTTTATATCGATATCCCAATTCAGTTCAACAAATGCTTTTAACATATTCATTTCCTCATGAAGAGCACCTAGAACTAATATAAGCCAAGAAAAATCTTTTTTCATTTTAGTGCACGATGATATGGTACTCCATCACAGTAGTGACCACAACCCATTTACGGCTACCTTCTTTAACCCCAGACACCTTTTCAATATGCTCAAGAACTTTTCGAACATTAGAAGTCGAGTTTGGATTAACTCCTATCGGATCAGGAACAAATAATTGAAAGGTGTATAAACATCACGCTCCGGATTTGATTGCGCTTTTTCAAACGTGCGAATGACTAGCGATCTTTCAGCCGTATTTATGATATCAAGCGGCTCGTTAAATTGCTGATCCATCTCGGTAACTTATTACGACATGTAGGGCAGATTCGCTTCTTATTATCAATGTTAGACGTTTGGCAAGCTGAGCATTTTTTTGCATATCCCGCTGGCTTCGATGACGTATCAATTCATCAATCACATTGGTTTCTTGATTTTTCTCGATACAAAGCTCTTCTAAGATAGTAGTAAGATAATTAGTAAGTTCTTGAATTTCATTCCTCATACCTGAAGTTAAAGAAAATAACTCCTCGTATTGCTCCCGTGAAAGTTCGGAGGATAACCAAGGATCCGTATTCTGAACATCATCATTTCGATCGTAATTAAAAGCGACTAAACTCGTAACGGTATGGAATATAACCATATTAAGTCCACGGTCTAGGTAATTTTTCTGACCCTTTTGTTCATTGTCAAAGGATAAAAATAAAAGACTCTTTTTTTCATCACTTCTATAAGGTTCAATTTTAGCTACTTTTCCTTGAGGAAAATTTTCATTTACTCATTCCTGTGCATCAATCACTTTACCACGACTTGAATTGAGAAGAAACTACTTTGCAAGGTTGCGTGGATCGCGGTGGATTATGAAGCTATATACTCGGAAGAGTGTATTCTGACTGTTAGTTTGATCCTTATTGCAGCGCTAGATCGATCCCACGCTTCCTTTTTTTGCCGTGGTGTGCCTCATCCTTTATTATTACCGCGACCAATTAAGTAAAAATAAATCGGTCAAAGAAATGTTAGAAAGATTACCACTTATTGCTGGCGGAATTCATGCTCTAATTTTGTTACTAATTTAGCCAAATAATAATCCACAAATTTAATCTGCGCTGAAATAAGAATAATAATCAGCACAATAGTTAGGCTCAAAATCAAGTTAATAATTTACAAGAGCAAGTTAATCAGCAAGCAATTGAGAAACCAACACGAGAAAGCTGATAGACTACTGGATTATTTAAGAGAAGCCGAACTATTTAGCACTGAATTTTTAGCCGAAGCAGTAAAGTCCGAAAAAGAAAAAGAGAATCGCGATGATTGATGATTAGGATGTTTGTTAGAAGATAAAATTTCTTTGCTCTCCCCTCTGCCGGCAAAACGTCAAAATAGCCCTAATTATAGAGAATATTTTAATTCGGTCACGGAATATTCATAGTATTAGTGGCAGAAAGACAACAGTAAAAAAATTGTCCGCCGTTTTTTCTAATAACAACAACTACAACTACAACGACAATAATAATAGCAACAAGTCGCTCGACTATTAATTACAGTTCAAATATTCAATCCCGATCATTTTCTTACCTCCCATACATATATTCTTATCAAAATGATGTATGCATATATGTTAGTCATAGTGTATCAATTCCATAATTCTCACGTATCAAAAGCTAATCATTTGTTTCAGCAAAAAAGAAATGAGCTTATTGCAATCCGAACTTTTTGTTCACTATTATTTCGTTTAACATTGGGAGTAATACTGCTTATTGATCGAGAGTTTTTTCCTGACAACCCCTCTGACTATGGAGTATAATCACCAGAGAATCAATTTCACGATAACGATATGACAAGTTTATTAGATTTGGTTCACTATAGACAGCGTCAACTGTATGTCGGCCGCAGTTTTGTTATCATAAGTATATCAACGACTTTATTGTCAAGCTACGTGCTAAACGATAGATTCCTAACTTTTAGAAATAAATGTATTTTCATCGCTATTACTATTTTTCAGGTAAGACCGTTATCGGTACACGAAAATTGAATAGGGTTGTACAATGGTCCCGATTAGGCCAAGGTAATTCTGGTCGATTTACATTTAATTCCAAGCCAAAACAAGTATTAATTCTAGCTCTATGTTTATTAAAAAAAAAACTTATTGGTAATAGTTTACAGGCCTAAAAAGAATTTTTTGCACGTTCTAATAAAATCTCCGCCACATCTATTGCTTCATCCACATTACTCAAGTCATCTTCACCTGTGTTATCATTAGTTTCATCAATAGATATGTCAACAAACTCCTTTGTCGTACTCATTATCACTGCATTGACGTTCTTTTCAATCTCTTCCTGAAGATATTCCAAACATATAAGTGGATTCAAGGAAATACTGTGCAAAAGCTTCAGAATCCGGGTTGTGGCTATGTAAGCCCTCGAAAAAGTATTATAAACTGTATAAAAACTGGTTCTCATGAATTGTGTAACATTTCCTTATATGGGTACGGTCTTACCTGAAAATATTACTATAGTGATAGTATCGAAATTCCATTCCGTATTCTAACCATGTCTTTACCAATCATCATTTGGGCCAAGCCAAGTCACAGAACATAAACAAATTACTTACAACCCCCAATTAATCAACAATACCTACATCATCTTCCTCGCGAACAAAAAATCAAGCTCTACAGACAATTAAAATATAACACCGCCTCCATTAAACATATTCCACCAATTTATATGCATACAACCACTATTTTATGAATCGATCCTCCCTACAAAAGATACAACTAATTAACACAAATCTCAGCGTTATTGAATCGATCGTCTTTTCTTGACAACAGCGAAACTTACATTGAATCTTATCGTGATGACGTTTCTGTATCACCAGCAATATAACAATATAGCACAAGAAGTAGGGAATGCTTCTTCAGAACGATGTCATCAGTCTTAGGGGCTCATGCAACAATCGACAATCTGATAAGTGAACATAAATTTGAATGGGTTTCCAACTCGGATATTACCGACATAAAGCCAAGCCAAATTGACAACGTTCATTACGCTTCTCGCAATGATTACAAGATAATACTGGTATTCCTTGGAAGTAGCGAAGAATGTACACCAGCACTTGTGAGTGAGTTTGCTAGAATATACTCATTTCCAGCACACGAGTACGATAATGATATCGGTCAATTCAGAAGATATAAGAAATGGCTTAAGGAACGCAACAGCATGATAAAAGGATTTACCAAGGATGACAACAACTATTACATGGTTGCCAATAGAAAGTTTTACCATTGTTATTCTCGATATGGCTTCTGCTCCGCATGTGGAATACTCCGATGCAGTCCCGTGTGGTGCATTTGCGGGCATAAACAATTATCCGATGGAT